GAAAGATTCATCATTATTCTCAGAATTTTAATCAATAAGGTAGTGCCATGGATCTTTTATTTTTAGGCAAGAAATTCAGTGGACGGTGTCGGTCCCATGCAAGCACCCATGTAAGAAAAGCTTTTGCTATAATTTTCTAATACTAAACGTATTTTTCTCAAGCGAATAAGTAATTAAAGTGTATTCAGTCTTCAGTAAGTTAGACTCACTTGAGTAAAAAATCAAAGTTTTAATAAAATTAAAGTATCAATGGCAGCGGCGAAGATAAAATCTGTTATTCCGTATTACAGAACAACGTCCATTCACCGTGACATGTTTACACTATTTATAAAACCATCCATTATTTTTAACGAGAATAATGATGGTGTTTTTTTGGAAAATTAGTCTAATGGCCGTCAAATAAAAGTTTTTTCACTTTTCAATCACCAAAAACATTAGTGTTTTTAATACGATTTATATCGATCAATCTCCTAACAAAAAAACTAAATCGATCTACCCATAAATAAATTTAAATTTGTTTATAAAGTTATAATTACTGAAGACGCTTAATTAAATTTTCCGACAGGTTTGCTTCCCACATAAAAGTGCTAATTTCTGGCTACACCAGCTCCGACCATCGGCCACTGAGCGTACTTTTAGCCTTGCAACCACCACGAAGAAGTTCAGCCATCTAGCGGCTAACACTTACACTCGAAGATATGACAGTGACCTCGCCGCAAAAGCTCGAGCTTCCTTCGATAAATCACTGGATTATGTTATGTAATCGTAAATTGTTTCAAATTAGTTGGTAATAGCAGTTGCGTCTGTAAGTAGCACTAGTCATTTTTCTGTGACACCGGCACCGATTAAATAGATGAGTTTAATCGAGTTATAATGACTATAAGTGTCTATTTATTGTACTGGTCATTATTTTTTGCTCCCGAAATGTCTTCAATTAAAAAAATATTGCTATTTAGACAACCAATTTGTTTTCGTGTTCATTTAGTGGAATCATTATCGCCTAATTTTCATCAAGCTCTTAATTTATTTTAGTGTTTGTTTTGATTTGATCATGAAAATATTAAGACAAGTAGCTAAACAGAGTTTGTTGGAGAACATTAATTTTTCGTAACTTTGAAGTTGGAATTAATTTGAAAAGATAATGACCGGAATTTATCACGGCGTTGGTGCGACATCTATCTCGAAATTCTGAAAACCATTAAGGGTAGATTCTGCTGTATAGGGGGTGCATCCGACGCACTCAGATTTCGATAATATCGGCATTTCGCCAGTCTGTTTCAAAACATTTATGCGTGGGAGCAATTCACGGGACGGTTGGAAAAACGATTCGATTAAATCAAACATTTTTCTTTTAACCACGTTGGTATTACATTCATCCAACAGCGCTGACAACATAGCGAAAAATGGACTTTTTTATACACACGATTTTCTACAACAGGTCTGTCCTAACACATTCCACACGAAATATTGTTACAATATTTAAGTTCAGTTTGTAAATATAGTGCTAATGACACAATGGACAGATAAAACTATTTCGTTAGTTCCTTTTTTGTGATACCATATTTATTCTAAATCTGATTACTGCTGTATATAATTCTCCAGTAATTTGCTTATCTTAATGACTTAACAAATACCTACTACACCAGTCATTCTATTTAGTGAAAATACTTTAAAAACTCCTCAAGTAAGATTTTCCTTTTATTCTAATTTAGGAATTTGAGGATTCCATATAGCACTTATTCAGCTTGGTCATGTTTAGAGTAAAATATTCTGGAAATTTCTTTAAAATATTTCTTGGTTGATTATTATTATAACACGATTTTTTGAAAAATAGGGTAAAAAAAGCACAAAATCATCAGTAGACAAACGAGCATCAGAACCATCTCCTTCTATAACAGAACATGATTTGTTTATTACATGTACTATTTATTCGCAATGCTTTTACATTGTCCATCCGTTGAAAAGTAGATATGTACTCATAATTAATTTTTTCCGTTTTTTAAAATTTTATGGCGTTTCATCAGATTGATGACTACCTCCTTGTAGATAAATTAAACAATTTTGGATTCTCTACATCTTTACTCTATTTATTCCGGTCATACTTGTTTAACAGAGTATGTCAGTTATCGCTGTTACAAATCCAAGAAAATTTCACTCACGTCTGATGTTCCTCAGGGTTCGAATTTGGGACCGCTGTTATTCTTGTTGTTTATGAATGACATCACTAACTTTGTCTCAGCTGAAAATCTGTTATTTACAGACGATTATAAGATTTTTAAAATTATAAAATCCACCTCAGATTGCATTGCCCTTCAAGGAGATCTTGGCAACATATATCAGTGTTGTGTATTTAAATTTTTCGAACTGTTTGGTTGTATCCTTTACTATAAAATTAACGCCTATTAATTTTCAGTACAATATAAATACTGCAATATATATAAAACGAAAAGATTCCGTTTTGGATCTTGGTATAACTTTGGACACTGTATTGACGTTTATTTCCCATACTAAAAGTATGGTTGCTAAGGCGTATAAAGCTTATGGAGTTGTCTACAGGAATAGCAAAGATTTCAAACAGATACGTAGGTGCTTTAAAAACATTATATTTTGCGTTTGTCAGGTCTAGATTGGGGAGTATGGATCAATTGTGTGGCATCCATTATGTGAAGTCCATGTTAAAAATATAGAATCAATTCAACGAATGTTCTTGAAGTTTCTGTCATTCCGGGAAGATGGAGCATATCCAGTAAGAGGTTGTGATCAGACTGATTTGTTAAATAGATTCAACCTTGGCTCTCTTAATGCAAGGACAATCATTTTTGGAGTGCGATTTATACTCAATCTAGTAAACTATGAAATTTTAAAGCTTAAGACTATTTAATACATGATCAATTTTGTCAATATTTTCTAGAGCTACTAATGTTCTTGGAACCCAGTCGAGGGTTATGTTGATTTTTGATTATGGTTACATATCCTGACGTATTATATCGCAACAGTTTAACGAGCGTTGTCTTGATGTCCGGACAAGAGAGACTTAATGGCAAAAGCTGCAGCCATAATAAAACACTTAACTTAATATTTTATAGTGTGCTATGTAATGTAAAAAAACGTAGGTATAGTTACAGGAAAACCTACGTACACTTGTGGACTAATAATTTACACAAATGTTCGGGAATGCCTGCTTCCCGCATGAACGCCGCATTTGCGTGAATGCGGGAAGCAGGATCACGAACGTGTTGTGTACAATATTTTTTGCTACGAATAAACCTTTAAACTGAAGAGATTAACTGTGAGTTAGTTATAAACAACAGTGTTGACAGCGTCCTAAACATGTCACGATGTTGACACTACCCGACTATTTTAAGATTACCATGGCAACGTAAAGTTAAAATACACGTGTGCGGGAAGTTCGACCTCCCGCACCCTGGTGAATGCGCGAAAGTCATCAAAAAAGACCATGAGTGCAAACATTCAATTTCACGCCAAAAATTGTTCAAAAAAGACCATGAGTGCACAAAATGATCCTTGATCGACAACTACTTCTTTGAAATACTATCATCTGTGTTTTCCCAATGGACAATAGTCGTAGATTAGTCCTTTTTCACAACCTGTGAAGGATATTTTATTCTAATGACTTCGTTAACTTTATTCGTAATTGTAGTTTTTATAGAATAATTATCTTCATTTTTTCGTTAGAAGTCAGTTTAAATCCATGCGTTTCCTATTACTGAATAATCACAGGTGTCTTAAAAAGCCAATAGAAAATTACAGGCAAAGTATTTTTCACAAGAGAAGATTTTGTCAAATATAATCATTTAATCAATCTGCCTCAACCGAGACTGGTGAGTAGTAAAGCACCTTCTGAAGGTATAGCATCCTAAAATAAAATTTTACACTCCAATCGAACATAAGTTTCTGTATGATCTGTGGAAATCTGCCACTATCTTTCTCCATCTCAGAATTAAATTAATACAAGTTGTGTGGTACCACCCGGAGTTCTCGGCTGCTCGGCTCTCGTCGGGTGTTCGGTACCACCCCCAAATTTATTTATGACCGCCCTCCTGGACGAACGAGTGGCGGACGCAGAGTCACCAACAACCCGTCAACGGGCACGCGTCGCGAAAACACATAAATACTTTCATCATATAATATATATATTGACATGTACATAATAATCAATAAATCGTTGTTAAAAGTGCACGTCGTTCCACAATTAATAATCACTACAGTTTCCACATTGGTCCTTCGAGCCGGATATTAATACCGCGACTGTATTATTCGGAATTGAAACGCGACGCGTGGTAGTGACGTTCCGTGGTAGCAGTGGGCAGCATTTCTGAAAAAGGAAACACCACCCCATGGAAGAAGTTTTCAACTAACAAATTCCGTGGAAGCAGTGGGCAGCATTTCTAAAAAAGGAAACACCACCCCGTGGAAGAGGTTCATTCAACGATCTCCGTGGCAGCAGTGGGCAGCATTTCCGACAAAGGAAACACCACCCCGTGGAAGAGGTTCATTTAGCGATCTCCGTGGCAGCAGTGGGCAGCATTTCCGACAAAGGAAACACCACCCCGTGGAAGAGGTTCATTCAGCGATTTCCGTGGCAGCAGTGGGCAGCATTTCCGACAAGGGAAACACCACCCCGCGGAAGAGGTTTATTCAGCGATTTCTGCGGCAGCAGTGGGCAGCATCTCCGACGAGGAAACGCCACCCCGTGGAAGAAGTCGTCATTCAGCGATTTTCACGGCAGCAGTGGGCAGCATCTCCGACGAGGAATCACCACCCCGTGCAAAAATCTCAACATCGGAACTAGGGCTTCAACAAGAGGGAGTCAGCACACGTTCAGCTACACTCTTATAAACCATTGAGAGGAGAAAGGTTAGTGGCTCTTTTGTCCTAAGATTTCCCTTTTTTACCATATTCGCACGGCTAGCTTCAACGCGTATTTGTGTATCTAGACATTTTTAATTGGCTTTAAGGTTCATTAATTATTCAAAAATATGTCTAAATTAGATCAGCAAAAAAGCAAATTGAAAACCATTGATGATACATTGAAACGAATAGAGGAATATGTACAGTCATATAGTCCTGGGGTCAGTATCAATCAATTAAAAGCACGATTATCACTTCTTGACGGAATTAGAAACGATTTTAACGAAACTCAATACCAGATAGAGCAACTTGAAAAGGGAGCCGCAGAAGCCTATGAAGGCTGCAGATCGGAATTTGAAATTCGTTATTGCGATGTTGTGTGTCTTATAAACGATATTATAGAAAAAAGTCTCGCGGTTTCGGTTCCATCGACTTCTTTATTGCTTAACCCTACGGACGGTAAAAATCCACGAGATTCTAATGACAGCATGCAGTTGAATCTACCTGTTTTAAATATCAAATCATTTAGTGGCGATTACAAAGAATGGTTAAATTTTGAAAATTCGTTCAAATCGGTGATAGATGAGAATAAGGCGTTAAATAACCGTCAGCGATTTCAGTATTTAAAGTCTTCCTTGCGCGACGAAGCCTTGCGTACCATTGAATCTTTAGTTATTAACGATGAAAATTATAAAGAGGCATGGAGATTACTAGCTAATCGGTTCAAAAATACTCGTTTAATAGTGCAAGATCACGTAATGTCCATTTTAAATGCTCCTAGTATAAATAAGCAATCACCATCCTTATTGCGGGCTCTTGTCGATACGGTGGTGTCGAATTTAACGTCTCTAAAATCATTAGGAATAACGGTGGACAAATGGGATGCATTACTTATTCCTATCATTGTAGAAAAGTTGGATTATAGTACAAAACGTGAATGGCAACTTTCCCTCGATAAAGATGTACCGACTTACAAACAGTTTATTGACTTTCTAGAAAAACGTTGTTTAATGTTGGAATCATTAAGTTATATGTCGAATAATAAAACATCAAATGAAGGAAAGGTTTATTATAAACAAAATAATTATTTCAACAAATCAAAGACTGTTTCTCACATAACCACTAATAAAAAACAAGCATCTTGTTCAATGTGTAAAAAATCATCTCATTTAATTTTTCAGTGTATAGATTTTTTGAAAATGTCAATTCCCGAGCGTATAGCGCAAGTTAAACGTCTTAAATTATGCATCAATTGTCTCCGAGAGAATCATCAGGTTGCTACATGTCGTACCAGTCATAAATGTCAAGCTTGTAACAAAAAACATAATACGTTAATACATACAGACGAAGCTGACGCCGATGAAAATAGTTCAGTAACTTTAAGTAATCATTCTTCTAGTTTATTAAAATGCTCAGATTCCGTTTTACTATCAACGGCTGTAGTTCTTATTAAAAATGCTAAAAATGAATATGAAATTTGTAGAGCTTTGTTGGATCCAGGTTCTATGTCCAATTACATAACTGAACCGATGATTAAAAAACTAAAATTGAATACGGAACAAATAAATATTCAAATTAAGGGTTTAAATGGAGCGGCAAGTTCTTCTCAAAAGCAAGTTTTAGATGTGGGTATAAAATCTATTTATAATGCGTACTCAACAAAAATAAATTGCATCGTGGTGAACAAAATAACCGAAAATCTTCCGTTAGTGTCTATCAACCCCTCATCTTTGGAAATTCCCAAAACCATAAAACTAGCAGATCCCAAGTTTTTCGAATCGGGTACAATAGATCTTTTGATAGGAGCCGGCCTTTTTTGGAATTTACTTTGCATAGGCCAATTGTCCTCGCCGGGCAGTGGGTTAATATTTCAAAAAACACATTTAGGGTTTATTGTGGGAGGCCCCCTCGGTACCATAAACTTACCGACAAATTTTACAACATGCAATATTTCCATATCCGGACCCGACCCCGGCTTAGAAATACAGGCAAGAAAGATTTGGGAATTGGAAAAACCAGTAATTACGGCGGATTACGATAAGAATGCGTCTAACGAAGACGAAATTCTTTGTGAAACCCACTTCCGGGAAACTGTCCAACGGGACCATGACGGGCGATTTATTGTGCGGTTGCCCATTAACAATAACAAAATAAATATTGGTAATTCACGAAATGCAGCTCTCAAACGCTTTTTTAGTCTTGAAAGGAATTTGATCAAAAACCCACACGTTAAAACAAATTATGTAGATTTCATGTTAGAATACCAAAATTTAAATCATATGGAATATTTAAGCCAACCACCCAACGACAACAATTGCGTTTATTTGCCTCACCACGCCGTGCAAAAGGAGTCTAGTACGACAACAAAATTAAGAGTTGTTTTTGACGCGTCGGCAAAAACTTCAAACAAACAAAGTCTAAACGATAATTTGCTAGCTGGGGCGGTATTACAACAAGACCTATTTTCAATAATAGTACGCTTTAGAACATTTCAGTACGTGTTAAACGCTGATATAGCGAAAATGTATCGTCAGATTAAGATACATCCCAACGATACGAATTATCAATTAGTTCTTTGGCGGAATCATCCATCCGAACCACTAAATACGTATCGTCTTTTGACACTAACATATGGTACTAAACCGGCAAGTTTTATTGCTACGCGGTGTTTGAAGGAGTTAGCTGATCAAAACCAAGCTAGGTACCCTGTCGCGAGCGAAATCATTCGTCGAGATTTTTATATGGACGACCTTTTAACCGGAGCTGACTCGATCGAAGATTTAACTAAAATAAAAAATGATGTAACGGCCATATTGAAGCAGGGTCAATTTGAACTGCGAAAATTTCAGTCAAACGAACTAATAAGTGTTTTATCTAATAATGATAATTTCCATGATTCGAACCTACAATTGCATAAGGATAAATTTACAAAAATTTTAGGTTTGTATTGGAACCCTACCGTCGATAATTTAAGTTACGAGATTATACTGAAAAATATACCTAATAAAGTAACCAAACGCGCCATACTTTCGGTAACGGCCCAAATATTTGATCCGTTAGGGTTGCTCGGACCCATCATAATGCATGCTAAATTAATTTTGCAACGTTTATGGACGCTGAAACTGGGTTGGGATGAATCAGTACCTCCCGATATATATACGTCTTGGATTACCTTTTTAAGCAGTTTGAAGCATATACGTCAAATTAAAGTGCCAAGAAAAATTATACCCGTTGCATTTTCCGACATTAGCGAAATGTCCACACTCTTAATACGCATTGAAGCATGTTCAAATTCAAGACGTTTAACCCCCTTATCGTCCGATCCCAACGACCTGAGCATCCTAACACCCGGTCACTTCCTCATCGGAGAGCCATTAACTTCCTTTCCAGAATACGATGTGACGGAGGTGCCGATTAATAAACTGTCAATTGGTGGAAAAAATTCGCACGCATTTTTGGCGACGCTGGAGTCGCGAGTACCTAACGCAAATTGCAAATGGCAGAAACAGCAAGAGCATTACAGCAGAAAATGTACCACCTCTCACATGGAAAACCGGACGGATCACGGTTTTTATCCAGGCGACGACGGTGTAGTGCGGGTGGTAACAATCAAAACTGTTCATGGACTCACCAAACGCGCCTTACGTAAAGTGTGCGTTTTACCCATAGTGCGCGATCAATTGACATTACTTATGATGCGAACTGACTATTATAGGTGTTTTTCACGTTTAGACATTTTGGTACAATTTTCAATTTTCCAGGCTACCCTTCTAGGCCAGCCAGTCGTAATATGTTGAAGGACGCACCTTCAAGAGGGGAAGTCATGTGTGGTACCACCCGGAGTTCTCGGCTGCTCGGCTCTCGTCGGGTGTTCGGTACCACCCCCAAATTTATTTATGACCGCCCTCCTGGACGAACGAGTGGCGGACGCAGAGTCACCAACAACCCGTCAACGGGCACGCGTCGCGAAAACACATAAATACTTTCATCATATAATATATATATTGACATGTACATAATAATCAATAAATCGTTGTTAAAAGTGCACGTCGTTCCACAATTAATAATCACTACAGTTTCCACACAAGTTATTCCTCAAAATTCATCCCCTAATTTTTGAAGACTTTTTGAAGAACTTACTAGACAAAGACGAATACAAATACAGGGTGATTTCGAAATATATGCAATAATTGTAACCACGGAATCGCGTACCATAATAATGTAGAAATATAGAAAAAACAAATTAAAAGTCGAATGGGGCGAAATCTCCCTGCACCACACCCATGCGATACCACTGATCCACATTTTAAGAAGTAGGTGGAAAAACGTTCGAATAAAAACGATGTAAAGACTTTCAGTTTCAATTAAAAGTAAAACTGACTTTGCTGGTTATCAATCGTTCATTCATGTATTCACTCATGGTTCAACATCTATTCGAAAGATTATTAGTTGTGGTGGTCCTGAGAAGGACGGATTTTTAGTAATGCTTCATGGCGATCGATATTTTATTCTAACGGGTGTTTGGTCCTTGCCACAACGATTCCACATTGTTTATTAGAACAAACATAAGAGCAACTTATAATGCTACTACCTTTTTACAATAAATGTTGAAAATGTTGTCCTTGACTAGCAATACAGGGTTCAGCAAGTTGCAACATGTTTGCACGGATACTTAAAAAATCTCTGGTAGTTCCACGAACTGTAGCGCGTACCACTTCCACTCGGTTTTGAAGCTCTTTGAAAGTTTCTGGACAGTGTTGATTTCCATAAACTAACTGTTTCATCCAACCCCACAGACAAAAATTATACGTATTGAGATCGGGTGAACGCGAAGCCCAAGCTACTGGACCGTTTCTAACGACCCAATGGTTAGAAAAATGTTTTTTTAACATTTAGTTACTGGCCTAGCAAAATGTGGTGGTGCTCCATCAAGCAAGTACCACAACGAACTCGTTTACTTAGAAGCACTTACACCTCTAGCTGCTCTTCCAACACATTGTTTAAAAACCCGAGATACTGTACCACATTTAGTCTAATTAGTAAAACAAAAGGTCCAACTAAGCGGTCATTTACGATACAGCATTGCGAGTGAATCCTGCTTGGTCCGTAAACAGAATGCGATTTAAAAAGTTAGAGCGTTCACGACACTGCTGTAACAGTCATTGGTAGTAAATTGTACTACGTGGAAAATCAGTGGGCTCCAAAGCTTGTACTTTTTGAACGTGGTAGATATAGATGTAGGCCTTGTTCTTGTAATGTACAAACTGTGACACTCCAGCTTCACCTGCCAGTGGGCGAGTGCTGATGACGGGCTGTTCTTCGATGAGTTCCAAAATTTGTTCTTCAGCTTGCAGTATTTTTTTGGTCCTATCACGAGCACAATCGTGAGTTTAAGGCTTGAAGGTACAGATGCTATACCATCTTGGAAAGCGCTGGATCCACAATTCGCGGGACAACCTAGCGTTTCCATCAGCCACACCATAAAGCATTACCATGTCAGCACACTCTGAATTGGAAAAATTCACCATTGTCAAAGACGTTAACCGACTGATACATGACTGGCACTTATCGTGTTTTTGCACGTTGCTTATCAGTGGTCCGCTTTTTTGATTCTTAATCCTAGTCGTTCTGTGATGAATAGTAGGTACTTATGGTAGGTGAAGAAACACTACCAGTGACGTGTATAACAATTTATATTTAATTTAAAATATTTTTTTCTAGACTTTACTACCACTTAGGAACGTTAATTTTTACACAGTGCAGTAATTGTTATTGTAAGCTGTTCTTCATTTTTTTATTGCACACATTTCGAAATCACCCTGTAGGTAGAAAGTAATTGGAATTCATGAGACAGACACTTTTATTTGTAAAACATTGCTACTACTGTATATCCATAGTCCAGGATAAGTTTGTTTTATTTATTTTTTTTGTAAATTTTTTAGTTATTTTACTACTATTTTTATGACTCAATAATTGGTAACAACGTAGAAATAAAGGTAAGAATATATACAGCATGTCAGATCGAATTCACCGGATCATTTTAATTTCTAGAAAGAAAAGTCAGAATTAACAACTTAAATCATAACTTTGAACTTGAAACTATAATACGAGAATTGAGAAAAGCACACTTTTAACGAAAACTAAGACGATATTATTAACAAAAATCTGGCAATCCATCTCTTCGAACACAAATTTATCTTGTGTAAGAGCTCGTTTGTAAAAGTTGCTTCCAGAAGCCCATATAATTCACCCGCTGAAAGCTGTTTATTTTTTCCTTCAAGTGTTATTACTCCATAATTATGTCCTTTTGAGTGAATCGTCTTGATTTGTTTGCGTCTGAGCCGCAACAGTCATCCTTTGAATGCTGGATGTTGAAGTGAACATCAAGCCATACGATATTATTCGTTCGGTGTTGAATGATAGCGGCATTAATAAGCCCACATAAATGTCAATTAAAGAACCAATTAAAAGCAAGATTTGCGAGTGATTAACGTTTGGCTTTGTAAACATCTCGGTAATTGGAGAGGAATACGAGAGCCGCGAAACACGCCAGGCCCTGTCGCAGTTTTAATAGCCCGTGATTTTCTTAAACGGTTGAAAAGTTGTTAGCACTAGGCATTATGAGAAAGATTACCATGATTAGTCTTAGAGGTTTTCCCTCATTGCTCGTTACAAGTCTCGTTACTGTTACCGACGTCATCAATTTTCACAACTGCACCAGATTCATATCGTTATTAAAATTGATCGCTCTTTTAACACGCCGCAACATTGTTTTAAAGCACGCCTCGTAAAAAATACATTAAGTCCTGCAGACTCCGGCATCTTTGTAAAATTTACGGGAAATTTAACGCTGATGTAAGATCGAAATGGTTTAACACCTTTGTCTTAAGCGTATGATTGAAGTGTGGGATTATAATGTAAGAGAAAATTTTTATAATTGTTATCGTCAGATCTTATGCCAATGCTGAACGAAAATATCTCGCCTGTTATACGCACATTATGAGAAAATTAGAAAATAAACACAATTTAAACCTGGTCTTAACACTATAAAATTCCACCGTAGTGTATACATATTAATAGGCAAATCGTACGAATCTAGATGATCGATTGTTATACTGCAACAATAAATCAAAAATTAGCACAAAAGCAACAAAAGAAAAAGATATATTGAAAAGCTGGCAACAGCAGTTTGAATAATTACAAGAAGATAGGAATGAGATAGCTAAAGCAAATGTCAATGAAAATGGACCAACTAGAGGAAGAGAAAACCAGGATAATGTGAGAAAAGAAATTGCAAAGATAGAACTGGGAGAAATACTGACGCTTTGAAAAGCATCTAGAGCAGGCAAAATTACTAAGGAAATGTTCAAATATCTATAAAAAGAGAGGAAATCACTCCAAAAGATTGGAAAACTGGAATCATTACACCGCTCTTTATTGAAGTAGATACCAATGAGTGCAATATGTAACTAGTGAGGTATAAATAAATAAGTACACCAAGGAAAATATATCTCAAGATTCTAAAAAAACACTTCGAGAAACATTATTAAAAACGATACTGTAAGAAACATAAAGTGAATTTAGAAAGATTAGGGAAATCCAAAATCATACGTATACGAAGTCCATTGGAGCAGACAGAAAAATCCATCAAAACTTCAATGACATTGAGGAGGTTTTCGACATTATAAACAGAGAGCAGAGAGGTCTAATAAACAGAAACACTGGAGAAGGACTAACCAGTATAAAAGCTTATATGACATCACAAACTACGTACTTTAAGAAACAAATGACAATTTTATTATAGGTTTGAAACACGAATGCATCGTGAGTCCTCTTCTGTTTGTTATTATTCTTCTTATTCTTATTATTATTATAAACTGAAAGTTTGAGTGAGATATGAATTTCTATAGGCCCAACATTAAAAAAGAAAAATTTTATCACGCTTAAATAAGGAAAAAAGAGGAAAAAGACAAAAGACAACTTTTCTAGTAAAGTGAAAAGATGTAATTCCAATTGTCTTTTGAAACACGAGAGTGATGCTGCGTTGATTATTCTTTCGGGTAAGCTATTCCAAATTTCAAATGAACGATTTTATCCAAACAACATTTCAAACGTTCTCTTTTCTGGGATTGGTCTACAGTGTTGAGTGAACAGACTGATGAATGCAGAAGGTGACAATGTCTTGAGAGTTTTGGATAAAAAGAATAATACGGATCTAGCTTTGATACAAATCAATGAAATATGCGTGGACCAGGACAAATCATGAGAAAGTGTGTCACCAAGATAACGATGGGTTTCGGTAGTATTAGGGGTTTTTAAATTAAGAGAATATTTTTATTATTCTTATTATTAAAAAAATATGGAGCAGAGACCTATTATGTTCGTTCAAATAGATTTCCCTAAGTAGAGTTACTCATCGAATTTGTTCTTAAACATATTAACAGTTATCACATTTACGATTTCGCTATGCAAACTATTCCATTCATCAAACACCCTATTAGGAAAGAAAAACCTTCGAACAATAGTTCTAAATGGTTGCTTTTTTAATTTGTAAACGTGCCTTCGCAATTTGTTAGTATTTAACTCAAAAAGTGTTTTGAGAAGGTACATATATAGATTGTGAAAAACCTTGTGAACCAATATCAAGTCTCCTCTCTTTCGTCGTTGTTCCAAAGATGTAAGATTTAGACGTCTTAATCTTGATAATTTTGCGTTCTATAGCCCAAAATCTTTCTTGTAGCCCTTCTTTGAACTTTTTCCAGTAATGCCTTATCCCGCTGTAAAATTGGTGACCACACAACAGTGGCATATTCCAAAATTAGACGTATATACGATTTGAATAATTTAAGAAATGTATCCTGTGAAGGGTGTCTGAATGCATTGAATAACATATAGGATGCAGAATTTGCTTTTCGTGCAACGTAAGTTGATTGGATCCAGATAGATCAGATGTTATTATAATCCCTAAATCATTTTGACTATCCACCATCTTGATAGCCTCATTATATATCATGTAAATGGTTTTGGGGTTGTTAGAATTCAAGTGCAATACTTTACACTTGCCGTTATTCAACGGAATCAACCAGTCTAAGCACCAGCGGTAAATAGTATTTAAATACGTTTGCAGTTCTTGATAATTAAGAATAAAATGGGCATACAGTTTACAGTCGTCAGGGTAGAAAACGTGATTTGACGAAATTAAATGAGGTAAGTGTAGAGAGTGAAAAACAGTGGTCCCAATACAGAACCCTGCGGAACACCAGACACACCACCTGTTCACAGGATACCGAATCGTCCACTCTGACGTAAAACTTACGACCATAAAGAAAGGATCTGATACATTTCAATAATGGGGCGCAAATTCCAAAATTATCTAATTTAGTAATTAAACGAAGATGCTGTACCCGATCGAAGGCTTTTTCAAAGTCCAAGTAGATCACGTCAACAGGATTCTTGTTACCGATTTGTGAACTTCAGTCATTTAAACATTTTAACAAACATGAAGTGACTGACCGACCTGGAACAAAGGCGTCCTGAGTATATGGAATTAAATTAAGGTTGAGTGTCCAACCTCTCAGTTGCTTACAGATCATTCTTTCCAGAATTTTGCAACACGCAGATGTGAGACTTATGAGACGGTAGTTTGAAGCTAATGTTTTGTCCCCTATCTGTAACTGACGCTTTGAGGCAATCTGATGGCAAACGTGAATCGATTAATGAGCTTTTCATTATGTGAAGCGACGGTTTTACAATCTCATGAGCACAACTCTTTAAAACATTACAAGTAATATTATCAGGACCCGGCGCACTGTCAATTTTTAAAGCTGATAACTCATTTAGAACTTATATGGAAGACGAGGATTATTTTTTCCTGAATGAAGCACATAATACTTACCCTCATTTAATGGTAGAAACCAGTTTGTGCACCAATTAAAAAAATCTGTTAAGACCTTTTTGTGTTTCATGATATATAAGTGTCATCGGCAAATGAAGAATTGTTGTACAAGCCATGTCTTAATCAGCTACATAAAATAGAAACAACAACGGGCCAAGAACCGATCCTTGTGAAACTCCACTCACCACATTTACTGGTTCTGAACTATAATTACCAATACGAACGCAAAATTTTCGGTTAGAAAAGCATGACAAGTCAAGAGATTATCAGCAATACGGAAATGCTAAAATTTTAATGTTAAACCGCTGCGAAGAACTTTATCAAAAGCCTGGGAAAAGTCCAGATTACCACGGTCCAGCATAAATCCAATTGCCGATGCACACCAGAAGGTTAGTTAGTGCTATGAAAGAAAACGAATTCATATAAACGGTTAGCAATAATACTTTTTTGAAAGTCGAATTATTTATTTAGTCACATTGGATATTACATTGTAGTTGAGTTAATAAATTTAAGTACAATACCATAAGATAAAATAAATCTTTTTACGTATCTTCACAAATTGTCAAGCAACCTTTCCAATTCCTCGCCATCCATGGGTGCGTCTACGTTGTATGTTTTTAAATCTACCAGAATACAGTCACACGTTCGTTTCAGCGTATGTATTTGCATGTAGGCTTGGATCTTCTCGAGTACCTCCATTTGATTCATGTATCTTCTAAAGTGTTTCGTTACGAATGGTCTGTGCATGGTCGGGATAATTCGTTTATTCGTTATTCCCACTTCTGTTATAATGATTTCGTTGATCTTCAGATCATGCATAAGCAGGTCGGGTTTGTTGTGTTTTATTCTATTATACATATTATTATGGACTATATGATTTGTAATCAGCTGGAGAGGGAGTTCATTTAAATTTTTAGAATTTATTATGACGTATCTAATCAATATAGGAATAATTGAAATTTCCAAATATGACGTACTTTTGGTATTTGGTTTTACAGGTTCTGAGTTGTTTTTGAATTTTGGTAAAAAGAAGCATATCATCGTCAAGATTTTCTTGATTAGTTTTAACAGTGAGCAAGATTATGAACACAAGTTAGCATATAGAAATTATCGGATTCTTATAGACAAAAAATCGAGGTGAGAATAGAATAAATAATTAACAATGCAAGGAGGTACTTATCTGAGTCAAAAAAATCTCCTTTGGTCTTACTGAATGAAGTAAACACCTAGAACTAAGAGAAAATTCAAGAACTAATCTTTCGAAATAACCGTTTCAATCGGAGCAACACCGGAGTAGAAACGAAGACCGCGAATACTCGATCAAGGGTTTAATCCGACGACATAATGTAAATATCCTCCATAGAGAAGTGACAAAAAGATAAATATAACGATCAATACTGAACTCAAAAGAAGTGACAATTGAAACCATAAATAAGAGGCACGACAACAAAATATGAAGCAGAAATATGGAACAAGTAGTAAAATTTAAGATTTAAGTATTTGGGAAAAACAGTTAACAGTGAAGACAATATGGAATATGAAATAAATGGGAGCAGAAAAACAGGGAAGTTATTTAACTGCACAAAAATCATAAAAGAGGTGGAAGCAGAAGTGATTAAAAGAATAGTCAAACAATTGTTGATATTTGAAGGTGGAACGATCGAAAAACAGCGATCAAAACGAAACAAGAAGGAAACGTGCTTCCTAAAAAAGTAGAAAGAAAATCCAAACGTGATTAAATTAGAAGTGAAACACATCCAAAAAATGGAAGATAGTAGGCTGGTAAAACAAGAGTACGAAGTAGGAACTGAGAAAAACAAACAAGAGAGGCCATGAAAAATTTCAAAAGAAAAAATAAGGACAGCTACCAGAATAAGAGAGATCAGTTAGATAGATATCGAAGGTAAATTTTTTGCTTCGTTTTTATTTTTGCAGAGTTCGCCTTGTTATTTTTCTAGTTTTCGAGAAAAATGGACCTTTCTAAAGGCTATCTTTATTTGAGATTGATTCTTACTTCGATAACGATCAGCAAGTGAATGGTAAGTGAAGAAACAAAGACCCGGTTTTTAGGCATCTCATGAAAAATTCCGTGGTGTTGCTGTTCTTGAATATAATTTTTTAAGGACACTCGGTTATGTGATAAAATTATTTAATGGGACTGGTAGTATTAAGAGAAAATGAGGAAGTTGCACGTTAACAAAACTATCTCCCGAGGCTGTTGAAAATGTCCGACATGTTGTAGACGATAATCCTCACACATCTCCAAGAAGGCTTTCGCAGCAAGTTAAATAACTTGTCATATTCAACTTGTCAGAAAGTTGTTAAAAAGTAACTGATGTTGTTTTCCTACAAAATACATATGTTTCAAGAACTTAAACCACCTGATTATGAAAAGAGAATGATTTGTTCTAAATGTTTTAATTAAACAATGTACAATGATCTCAATAATACATATTTTAGTGATGACGCCTGGTTCCATCTGTCGGGGTATGTAAACTCGCAAAGTATAGGGATGTGGAGTGCAGACAATCCTCACTCCTCCGAGGAGAATTGCAGAATGGATATTTTCAACATAACGGTGCAACAGCTCATACAGACGAAACAAATTTGTACTTCCTACGGGAATTTTAACTATAACAACCTTTTAATTAGCTCCAACAGAGACCATATCTACTCACCTCGATCACCTGATTTGACACCTTTAGATTATTTTTGGTTCCCGATTTTGAAAAACACTATTTTTAAACAATCCGCGACCTAAAAGTGAAAATTCTACAAGAGTGCGAATATGCTACTTATCATAAATAAATCATTTTAAATCCAACAAGGGTTAATTCTTATAGGCATAATATAACCAAGCTTCCTAAGTTTAGCTACAGATAACCCACATTCAGGTTACGTTATAAAATTGCAAACAACGGTAAAAAACTGCATGAATTATAAAAAAATTATAATGCAGCATTTTTCAAGGACTCATTCACTTAAAAAAAAGTGTAAAACGCGAAAATTGCTGGCCCGGAGTCTTCTTGAGAAGACATTATTTTCCTAAAAAATTAAACAAAATTGTCGCTAAAATCTCACGGCAAACATGACTTCTAAGTGTTGTTTATCGTCTCCCAGACCATAGTTAAAAATAAATTTTCTTTGGGGTGACTGAGGTGATCTTTAACAATAATAGTAGTGTATAAATCGACCGCAACTGGCAGGCTGTAACATTTAATTTACACCTGCTGACTTAAATTAAGTCATTAAATAAAAATTTAGTTTGAAATGCACTTTAATTTTCAAGCATATGAATTTAATTGATTTATTAACAATATGATATCATTGAAGGTTCACATATCGTGTGGTAAAAACTTATAATCAAATTATGCTAGGAGCTGTTATTATATACCTACACGTTTGTTCTAAATTCAGCTAACAATTGCCAAGTTACGCTAAGATTATAACTGAAATTGGATGCACTTATTCAGTGTCATTTTGAAGGATGGATTCGGTTATAATTTGTTTTCATCCCAGAGTATTTATTTTTTTAAGAATGTTTGTTGGAGCGATTTACTTTTCCATGCAAAATTTGAATTTAGTTCGTATTATATTATACTTAGTAGAGTTAATTAATCGTTCTTCAGTACACAAAAATATATTTAATGTTTTTTTAGGATGACGTCATAGATGTTCCGGATGGGTTTATACTGTAATTTTTTGTCACCCTTAAATGAGTTTTATTATCTTATAAATAATTAATTATTATTATTAAATAACAGATGTGTGCTCAGCACTTGACCATATAGACAATAATACTATGGTACATACACTAAAAAGTGTCTGACAAATTAAAGACAGAAACCGGCAGATATATGACCCTTAGCTTTTTGCAATACGACTCCGGCAATTCCGTCCTTATTGGCGTCACAACGAACTTCCGTAGGTGGTAAAAGATCATGTATTTGTAAGAGCCGTCATTGACTCAGTTTTTCATTCAAGTTAAGAAAGGCCTTATTTTCTGCCCCAAATTCATGCTACGTTTTTATGCGTTAGTATGGTAAGAAGTTGGACTGTACGACTGAAATCCTTAAAATAAATTTGTAGAAATAACTGGTCACCCTACGAACTCTCACATCTGCCTTCATTTTGAGTAGTTCCAAAATTAGTCAAGCTGCTAACTTGTTAATTCCAGATTTGACTCCACGATGAGTAGGTTCGAATGTAAGATACATTTTGAACTGTGCGAAGAAATTACACTTTAATGATTTAAGGTTAGAGAAACCTTCTTCCGGAAGAAATTTCAAAACTATTTCCAATTTAGTAAAGTGATCGTTCAGTTGCTACTATGACATCATTATATACCACGGATAGTAATAGTTCTCCATGCGGTAGGACGACCTTATTCATCAGTCGTTAAGAAATGCTTGAAAAATTACTCATTCCAAATAGTAGTCGATTATATTCATACTGTCCATTGGGAGTAATAACGGAGGTCAGTAGCTTTGACTTTGCAATGAGAGGTATCTGACGGCAACTTGACGTTAAATCTAAAGTAGTAAAATATAGTTTCCCTTGCAGTTGATCTATCGTGGTTGTCAATTCGTGCCAAGGGATATCTTTCCTTCAGTGTGAAAAACAATGTAAGGAGTAAAGGAATAAGATGAAGAATATAGTAAAAATAAATAAGAAAGAATTGTGGGAATATTTTGTAGAAGAAATGGAAAAGGAGTAGCATCGTACTTAGGAATTGTTTTATTTATTTTATAAAACAATAAAAATATGAAATCGGAAAATGATTAAAAAACATTAAGCAAATTTGAACAAATCAAGGTAAACAACGGCAAAAAAATAATGGAATTTTAGAAAGAATATTTCCAAGCACTACAAACTGCAAGTAATAGTATGAATGACGAAAGGAGGTCATAAACAGCAGGACACTGAAAACCAACAGACGTAGAAAAAGTTGACGCAGTAATGAACAAGCTAAAGAAAGGAAAATCTGTTGGACATGACAAACTCACTAATGGAGAAATTTTAAAATATTTGGTAGATACACAGACGGTAAATAAGACATGGGAAAAAGGAAAAATGCCGAAGAATTGAAAGTGGGGATAATTGTACAATCTATATTAAAGGTGATATGAGGGAATAAGTTAATTATCATAGGCTTCTCAATCCAATGTTATTTAATCCGGTAAAATAACGGTAGGATCTAAATTTCGTACAAAATGAAAAGCACTGAAAAAATTAAAAAATGATCAAAATAAGACTAAGATAATGGTGATAAGTAAGGGAAATACAAACATGAATGTACAGATAAATGGAGTGAAATGGCTCAGAGACCTTTAAAAACCTACATAAATATGTGTAGATATAGGTAAATAATAAAGTAAAGAATGAAGAAAAGGCATTTCTGGAGAAAAAGGGTAATTAAAAAGATCAAAACTTGTAGTATATCTAATGTAATTTCTGGTACCTACGTTCACAAACGGAAGCTGAAACTAATAAGAAAATAACATGATGAATATAACATAAAGCATGGAAACGAAATCTCTAGTGGGAATTACACTTGTAGTTTATGAAACCGTTTCAAGTTTTTACCCTAGACATCCATGTTCTTATATTCTATAACATTTTGCAGTTTAACTTTGAAACTGCAAAACTATTGTAAGCATGGTAAATCGTTAATCAAAATTTGTGCATTTATCTCTCCCCAAAAAATATTTTTAGAATTACTTATATAGGGTAACTCAAAAAATATGAATGAAGCAATAAATTTTATCAATCAACGGTTCGCCCTATTTCCTTGAAAATTTGAGTAGACAGTAATGTTACTATTAGTAATACACTGCACCTACTCAAATTGACATGCG